AGCATTCTGAGTGGTCGCTAGGCAACACAACTGCTCTCTTGCTTGACAGTGTGAGCATCAGTAGGATAATTCCTGGTGTTATCCTGTACTTCTGGCAAAAAACGACTTCAATAAGTAGTTCAAGATGCTGGCTTTTCTGAACTGGGTAACTATAGTTCCTTGTTTCAAATGCAGTGGGAAACTGTAGTTGACTGAAGGCCTTCTGGCTTTTCACAAGTGATCACACTTGGACTGCTGTGTACAGTTCTGGTTTCCACAGTTCAAAGATGATATTTTAGAACTGGAAAAGGCGTAGAAAAACTCAAAAGGTTGCAGGCAATTTCTCTATATGGAAAGGTTATCATATTCGGGGATCTTTACTTTCTTTTTAAAATGTGAGTGAGAAAAGTACGATAGTGGTATGCAAAATTATGTGTGGAGGAAGACGATAGTGATGTATTTTCCCCTTGTAATACTAGACCCCAGGGTCATACAGTGAGGCTGAATGGTGAGAAATCTGGGACTTAAAGGGAAAAAATACTACTTCGCACAAAAATCTTTTGATTTTGCCAGCACATGATGTGGGGACGGCCACCAGCTTAGCTGACTTTAAAAGGGAATCGGACAAATTAATGGAGGCTAAGACTTGTAGTGACTATTCATTGTGAGGGCCATGGGGAACAACAACAGGAGAGGGCTTTTACTCTCGCATCCTACTCCTGGTCTTCCAGAGGCATCTCATTGGCCACAATGGCAAACAGGATGTTGGGCCAGATAGATCTTTGGTCTGCTCCAGCAGGTCTTTTCTCAGGCACAAGTACAAGTCTTGTTCCTGTATCATCTTACTAAACCAAGTTAAGTTCAAGGGACAAGGCAGTGCATATAGCAACTCTAGGAGGACAGACAGGCTAGCTATGTCTTGTGGTTGATTCATACATGTATCTATTCAAGAGCTATGCACAGTGAACTTCTGCCTGCAGGTCTCACCTGGCCTGAGTCCACTTAAGTCCAGAAAAGGGAGAGTGGGGCATTATTTTATTGTTGTTCTTTAGCAATGAGCTTGATAAAGCAAGCTTGCTTCATCTTCCAAGTCACAGCCCTTGAGATATTTGAAGATGGCTATCATATATCCTCGTATTTCCTCATATATTCTTCTCCTTTGCAATTTCCCCTTGTTAGTGTATATGAATAACTGAGAAATGAATACAGTTATACAGAATTTAAGCAGGAAATAAGCTTGGATATTTTGGCAAGTGTAAGTGGAATATAGTAAGTTGGAATCTGCCTTATAGCACTGGCTAATAAGAGGTTCTCCAGAATCTCAAGACAAGGGTCTCTTCTCCCATCACCATCTACCTGACAATTTTATCTGGAGATGCCAGAGATTAAACCTGTGTGCCAAGCAGTGATTTTATCACCAAACACTGCTTCTTCTCCAAAGGAAAGAACAGTTTTACATATAAGTGGTTGAACTTCTTTTAAACAAGTTTAAATTTTTCTTTAAATTTCTGGAGCGTTCTTTTAGAGTCTTTATTAATTTTTTCCCATTTGAGAATATTGAATTAGCTTTGAAATGTAAAACTTAACTGACTGAAGTCCTTATAGTCATTCATAGTCCATCCGATAAAGCAGGGTGTGGAATCTTTGACTCTCCAGATGTTGCTCCCATCACCACTGGCCATTGGCCATGCTGGCTGGGGATGACTGTAGTTGTAATTCAGCATCATCAGGAGGGCCAAAGGTTCCCCACACCTGCAATAAAGTATGATGAGCTTGTCTACCAAAGCTAATTCACAATAAGAATGTGTTAATGTTTAAGGGGCCAGAAAGTGCTTGCTGGGTTTTGTTTCAGCTTAAAAATGTTTACACTGATGCAGCATCTTCTTTGCTCATGGTAAAGCTGCAGCCAAGTACCCAAATCCCTTTGGCCCCTGTCTAGCAAGAAGGGGGGGGGGACAAACAATTTCCTGTTCTGCCTTCTAGACATACAAGCCCCAATGAACACCTTTTTGCATGAGGGCAATGTCATGACTCTTGTGACTTGACAGACCAGATCCCTTGGGAAATTATGGTTGCTAGGTTTGGAACAAGCCAGGATCCTAAATCTGTTAGCAGACTGACTGAAATAAAGCAGATGGAATCAAGAGAGAAAAGAAACTGGTACAGTAAATGCACACTGGAACGCGGGTGGCGCTGTGGGTTAAACCACAGAGCCTAGGACTTGCCGATCAGAAGGTCGGCGGTTTGAATCCCCGCGACAGAGTGAGCTCCCGTTGCTCGGTCCCAGCTCCTGCCAACCTAGCAGTTCGAAAGCACATCAAAGTGCAAGTGGATAAATAGGTACCGCTCTGGCGGGAAGGTAAACAGTGTTTCTGTGCGCTGCTCTGGTTCTCCAGAAGCGGCTTAGTCATGCTGGCCACATGACCCGGAAGCTGTACACCGGCTCCCTCGGCCAATAAAGCGAGATGAGCGCCGCAAGCCCAGAGTCGGCCACAACTGGACCTAATGGTCAGGGGTCCCTTTACCTTACCTTTACCTTTACCTTTACCTTTACAGTAAATACACAACTTGCAGGGGGTTATATACCGGAATTCGCACCCAAAGCCAAAATTATGTATAGTCAAAGCATATTGGGTTCAGTGGGGGGTTGAATTGTGCAAATCTTTTTCCCCAGACACCCACCTCCTTTCCACTCCCCTTTTAATGTATTTATTTTTTAAAACAACAACAACTATAATCCGTCTTTTTTGCCAAGCACATAAAGCAGAATGCACACGAGTTAAATGTCCATAAATTACAGGCTTATTCTGCTATTTTATTGAGGGTAAATGGAACAAAAGCAGTGTACAGTGGTGCCTCGCAAGACGAAAATAATCCGTTCCGCGAGTCTCTTCGTCTAGCGGTTTTTTGGTCTTGCGAAGCAACCCTATTAGCGGATTAGCGCTATTAGCGGCTTAGCGGCTATTAAAGGCTTAGCGGCTAAAAGGCTATTAGCGGCTTAGCGGCCTAGAAAAATGGGGGGGGGAAGCGGAAAAAAATCGCAAGACTCGCAAGACGTTTTCGTCTTGCGAAGCAAGCCCATAGGGAAAATCGTCTTGCGAAGCAACTCAAAAACGGAAAACCCTTTCGTCTAGCGGGTTTTTCATCTTGCAAGGCATTCGTCTTGCGGGGCACCACTGTATAATATTATATCTACAGTACGTTATATAACATTTGGAGAAATAGAGTGCAGGCCTGGTCCAGAGCAACTATACAAGGGGAAAACTCCTTCACAACCACGCAGCCAATCAGAGCTCTGGATTGAAGAATCAAAGCATTCTGAGTGGTCGCTAGGCAACACAACTGCTCTCTTGCTTGACAGTTTGAGCATCAGTAGGATAATTCCTGGTGTTATCCTGTACTTCTGGCAAAAAACGACTTCAATAAGTAGTTCAAGATGCTGGCTTTTCTGAACTGGGTAACTATAGTTCCTTGTTTCAAATGCAGTGGGAAACTGTAGTTGACGGAAGACTTTCTGGCTTTTCACAAGTGATCACACTTGGACTGCTGTGTACAGTTCTGGTTACCGCAGTTCAAAGATGATATTTTAGAACTGGAAAAGGTGTAGAAAAACTCAAAAGGTTGCGGGCAATTTCTCTATATGGAAAGGTTATCATATTTGGGGATCTTTACTTTCTTTTTAAAATGTGAGTGAGAAAAGTACGATAGTGGTATGCAAAATTATGTGTGGAGGAAGACGATAGTGATATATTTTCCCCTTGTAATACTAGACCCCAGGGTCATACAGTGAGACTGAATGGTGAGAAATCTGGGACTTAAAGGGAAAAAATACTACTTCGCACAAAAATCTTTTGATTTTGCCAGCACATGACGTGGGGACGGCCACCAACTTAGCTGACTTTAAAAGGGAATCGGACAAATTAATGGAGGCTAAGACTTCTGGTGACTACTCATTGTGAGGGCCACGGGGAACAACAACAGGAGAGGGCTTTTACTCTCGCATCCTACTCCTGGTCTTCCAGAGGCATCTCATTGGCCACAATGGAAACAGGATGTTGGGCCAGATAGGTCTTTGGTCTGCTCCAGCAGGTCTTTTCTCAGGCACAAGTACAAGTCTTGTTCCTGTATCATCTTACTAAACCAAGTTAAGTTCAAGGGACAAGGCAGTGCATATAAGCAACTCTAGGAGGACAGACAGGCTAGCTATGTCTTGTTGCTGATTCATACATGTATCTATTCAAGAGCTATGCACAGTGAACTTCTGCCTGCAGGTCTCACCTGGCCTGAATCCACTATTAAGTCCAGAAAAGGGAGAGTGGGGCATTATTTCATTGTTGTTCTTTAGCAATGTTACTATTGCTTCAATGTTACTGTTGAAACTGAAAATTCACAGCTCACTGATTTTGACTGTAGTGAGGACTCCTTCTCTTCTCCCTTCCTTTCCCTTATCTAGCCCTACGCTCAGTCTCATCAGGGGAAAAAATCATTTCCAATAAACTGCTTTGTGTTCATTTCTCATATCTGAATTTCCAGTAAACTGCTAGACAGCGCCCCCCCCAACCTTGCTTTGCCTGGAAAAGTTGCTATAGCAAACCTCTCTACCATAATCCATAATCACATATTATAAAGAGGGTGTGAAGCATTTTCGGAAGTATAACTGGAGTCCACAGGCACCATCTGGCAGCTTCCGAAAATACATCAGACAGAAAATAAACATGGAGCTCCTTGCTGTTTTCTCTGCTATTGACTTTCTGAGCCAATAGTGGCAGGCGACTGGTGTACTGCATATTCCTTTCCTCTGTAACAAGGGACCTGTAGATGTTTTCCTTATATAGCTGGTTCTTCGGCAACCAAGCAGAAGTCAAGGCAAACCATTTTTTCTCCAAGTATATTTTTCATAGTGAGTTGTATTCTCTGCAGCAGCTTAAATATCTACACTGTTGTAAGATGATTGTGTATCCTTACAATATCCAGCGACCTTGTGGGTTCTGAAGTATTTATTGTGCTTCTAATTGTTGCAGCTGCTACAGCGCTTCTCTTCAAATGAAGGCCAAACAACGCTTCACAAAACCATGTCCCAAGGAGAGATTGGAAAACTGGCAGCTGCACAGAAGACTGCAGCTGCAGATGGAAGGTATAAAATGTCTAGCCAAAAGAAAGGGGGAGATCCTGAGTTAATTGCATCTAATTTTCTTTTTCCTTCATATCTGTATTTTATTTCCTGTATGTGTGGACAAATTTCAAAAAGCCATTCTGTTCAGCTATATATTTTGCTTTCTCGTTTGCATTTTGGAGGGAGGAATTGGTGCAGATAACATATTTGACTGTATGATTCCATTTGCGGAGTTAGCTCTCATGAGATGATGAGAAATGCATCTGCATGGAATAGAGCTGTCATTGGAATGCTCAGCACAAGAGATCCTGTGGCGTGTAGGACGTTACAGGATTTAGTTCAAACAGTTAACCCAGGAGAAATTGTTCATTAAAATCAATCTGCTGTAATTTAAGGTGAATCTGAATGACCAGAAGCATTGTCTTCAATAATTTTTGTACCACCTTGTTTTCACAACTAATGTGTTTTCTGTATACGAGGAGTTATTTTGTAAAGGAGACTTTTCACAGGGAGCTGGTCTGTTTGTTTCTAAGGGTTAAGGAAGCAGTTATGATCAAAGGAAAGTGTGTTCATGGCATGGCAGAGACTTTAGAGTCTCTGGTGATACAGGAGATTAAGTGCAGCAATGATACAGCAACATAGAAAAATGAACAGTGTAAACTTAACACTGCCTTGCAAAGTTTCTTAAAACTCATAGGAAGCCTCTGAGGAGAAACTGTATGAGTGATTATTTCAGACATTCCACACAAGTAAAGAAAGAAGGGAAAGATTGCAAGTCATTAACACTCTCACTTGCAATGTCTGAAGCTGCTCTCAGCTAAAGCAAAAGTTAATTGACTGCCAAATCTATTCTTATAGCCTCCAGCACCTTTGGAAGAATGGGAAGAAGGTGTATTGCCAACTCTGGTTATAATGCTTGATAGTGATTGGCTGGAATTTGATGGGAAAGGCAAGACCATCTTTTGGTCCCACCGAAAGATGCACAAAATATGATGTGTGGGGCAGCAAGCGATCCTCTCTTTCTCTGTAGAGAGACCTGCATTGCACTTTGAGCACCTTAGCTGTACTACAAAAGCTGTTTTTAATTCCAGACTGGCAATTAAAACAACCTGACCTTGTTGGAGGATACATATGACTAAATTCTATATAAATCTCTAGTAGCAGGCAGCATTCTATAATGTGCTATTTAAGCACTGTAGCATTAGTTGACTTGGTTGCTTGACAAATCTTCCTGAGAACTAATGACTTAACTTAGAGCCAGTTCCGAAGCATGTAATTGAGATGAGAATAATGCAGTTAACCACATTTTACAAATGTATTTCTGATAGGTTTCTTTGTTTGTTTGTTTAACATGGGGGTGCTGTCAAACAAATCCCATATTTAAAAGCTGAACTGATTAAGCCTTTGTATGAAGCTGAGTGTGATACAATGTAGAATTGAATTAATTGGATTGAATATTCATACTCGCATTACTTTCCTCCTATTTTCCAAGTGACAATTAGAAAATGTTTAGGAGGGGATATTTACATTGCAACAAGAACGTACGGGATAAAACTGGCAGCCTGACTTGAAGCAATTTCTCTTTTCATTTGCCTTTTAGCAGGCCTCAAAGAGCCAAGATGAGATTTTGGGGGAAAGGGAGACAAGTGGAGAAAAAACACACAGGGAGAAGCTTTCTACCCAGTCAGAGCTGTTAGAGTTGCATTCTGATCAAGATGCATCAGGAAGGGAGATTATTTCAGGTCTACAACATGAAGAAGGTAAGAGAAATGACACTATTGCATTTTTATGCAGATTTCAGGTAGTGAGAGGTTACATATGAGACACAGAGGAAAAAATAAGCAGTGAGGGATTTCATACCAGTTTTGATCTATACTGTTTACGGGGGGCGGGGCAAATTCTGATATAAGTGCTTGATACAGGGTGACAATCTCTGGGTTATTTGTGGGGCATAGGAATCTCTGGGTTATTTGTGGGGCATAGGAATTCGTTCATTTCCCCCCTCCAAAATATAGTCTGGCCCACCACATGGTCTGAGGGACGGTGGACTGGCCCACGGCTGAAAGAGGTTGCTGACCCCTGTTCCATACTGTTTCCAGGGGGAGGGATTCTGACATAGGTGCTTGATACAGGGTGGCTGCAGACAACCCTTTGCCAAATCATAATGTACCACTCTGTAAGCTAGTTGTCTCTCTTGTCTTGCCAAGTAGTAAGGAGGAACTTTCCCAATGGTTGCAAGCACACTGTACAAAGTTACCTCTTGGCAGCTGTATCCAGTATTTGCCCATAATTTGCCTTAGATTTCCTAGAATAATCCTGACAGTGCAGTGGGTTGGGAATCCTTTAGGCATGCAGCAACTCCTTGCGCACACGTCAAGGTTCCAGAGGAATAAAGAACCTTTGAACTGGAGCCTTGATGCTTGCTATAGATGTCTGAGCTAGAACACCCTGCTGCTTGATGCGACATGCGTTACTTTGCCCTTTTTAGAACTGACTCCCCCAAGGAGTCCTGAGTTGTCTGGCATCTATCGAAGGGAATGTAAGGAGAACAAAGAGCCGTCTCCCAAGGTGAAGCGAAAGCGCAGCCTGAAAATCAGCAATGTGACAATGGAACCTGCACAGTGGCAGAATGACGCCCTTCAGATCATAACCAGCGTCAGTGACTTGAAAAGCATGGATGAGTTCCTCTTGAAAAAGGTAACTGAACTTTAAAAATGGACAGCCCAAGAGTCCTGCATCTCATATCTTTTATCGAGAAAAATTACAAAGGGTAGTTTTGGCACGACCATTAGCCATTATAGCTATACAGTGGTACAGTGGTGCCTCGCAAGACGAAATTAATCCGTTCCGCGAGTCTCTTCGTCTTGCGGTTTTTTCGTCTTGCGAAGCACGGCTATTAGCGGCTTAGCGGCTATTAACGGCTTAGCAGCTTTAAGAAAAAGGAAACGAACTCGCAAGATGTTTCGTCTTGCGAAGCAAGCCCATAGGGAAATTCGTCTTGCGGAACGACTCAAAAAACGGAAAACTCTTTCGTCTAGCGAGTTTTTCGTCTTGCGAGGCATTCGTCTTGCGGGGCACCACTGTACCTCGGGTTAAGTACTTAATTTGTTCCGGAGGCCTGCTCTTAACCTGAAACTGTTCTTAACCTGAAGCACCACTTTCGCTAATGGGGCCTCCTGCTGCCTCTGCACCGCCGGAGCACGATTTCTGTTCTCATCCTGAAGCAAAGTTCTTAACCTGAAGCACTATTTCTGGGTTAGCGGAGTGTGTAACCTGAAGCGTATGTCACCTGAAGCATATGTAACCTGAGGTACCACTGTATTATGAAGGCAACTGAATTCCAATTAGTCCACAAAAGCTGCGTGGAATGCACTTATTGCCTGTAGCCCTGTTTTGTGCTTTTCATGGAAGCATCTGTGGGGAACAAGAAGCTAGGCTGGATTGATCTGATAGCTGGATCAAGCAGAGCTCTTAAGTTATAAATAAGTAGAATTGCTTATAAGATGGTCTTTTAATTGTGGGTATCTTACTATTCTGTGACAGGTTGCTTCCGCCTCACAGCGGGGGCATGTTGCACTCTGGCCTCCCGGGCACACTTCCTCCTACCTCAGCATGGGCGGGACAACGTCCCGCGTCACAGTGAAGTGTCCTGGCCATGTCACAGCACAGAGCACCCAATCAGGAGGCTCGGGGGTGTGGCTGGGACGATTTAAACCCCGGCGCGACGGCATTTTGTTCCCTTTTGAACTCTGATATTGCAGTGAGGATGCAGGTGCACTGTGCCTCTGTTTCCTCATGGTACAGAAACACACTTCTTGTGCATTGTGGCAGGACCTCTTGTCAGTGGGGCAGGGACCATCAGTGTTGTGGGGCTGGCGGGCAGGTACCTCTTCTCAACCCATAATAGCATTTCCAAGTGCATTTCTTAATCTTCAGAGGTGTGCAGGCATTCACTTTACAGTGGTACCTCGGGTTAAGAACTTAATTCATTCTGGAGGTCTGTTCTTAATCTGAAACTGTTCTTAATCTGAAGCACCACTTTAGCTAATGGGGCCTCCTGCTGCTGCGCTGCCGCTGCACGATTTCTGTTCTTATCCTGAAGCAAAGTTCTTAACCCAAGGTAATATTTCTGGGTTAGCGGAGTCTGTAACCTGAAGCATATGTAACCTGAAGCGTATGTAACCCGAGGTACCACTGTACAGTGGTGCCTCGCAAGACGAAATTAATCCGTTCCGCGAGTCTCTTCGTCTTGCGGTTTTTTCGTCTTGCGAAGCACGGCTATTAGCGGCTTACCGGCTATTAGCGGCTTAGCAGCTTTAAGAAAAAGGAAACAAACTCGCAAGAACTCGCAAGACATTTCGTCTTGCAAAGCAAGCCCATAGGGAAATTCGTCTTGCGGAACGACTCAAAAAACGGAAAACCCTTTCATCTAGCGAGTTTTTCGTCTTGCGAGGCATTCGTCTTGCGAGGCACCACTGTATATGCAAGAAAGTTAAGAATCAAAGTCCATGTTTGGCATGGTCCATGTTTGGCATGGGGCTAAGTCTACTCCTTGCCCCTAGTGAGAACAAGTTTAGCTCCATTTCAGCTGTGTCCCAAGTTGTAATTACCATATTTACTCGAATGTAATGCACACTTTTTTGGCCAAATTACGTCGCGAAAATTAGGGTGTGCATTAGATTTGATGGCGCATTTACATTCGCCAGCAAATAATTTTTTTGTTTAAAAGTTTTGAAAATTCAGGTGCACATTAGATTTGATAGCACATTCAATTCATGTAAATACGGTAGCTCATACCAGAGCATGATGGAATTTACCTTATTATTCCCTCTGCCTCTCAGGTTTTTTTGCTCATTAGCAAAATTTAATCATATGGTTTAACTTTATTCTGTTGTTTCACAGATGAATGATCTTGATAGTGAGGACTGCCAAAAGGATACTCTGGTGGATGTTGTCTTTAAAAAAGCCTTGAAAGAATTCCGACAAAATATCCTCAGTTTCTACTCATCGGCTTTGGCAGTAAGTTGCAGGGTTACTATGTTATGAAGTGAAGAACTTTTAGCTTGTAGGCTCTTGGTTGCTACCAAATTTCAAAACTTTGCAGAATCCTTGAAATTTCTCATTATTATTGCATACCAGGGTGACACATTAGCTCTCTTTAAAGGGGGAAGTGAATTAACATCTGACAGCTTCTCTAGGTTGACTACAGCTCATGGTTTGTCTAGAGCAGGAGTAGTCAACCTTTTTATACCTACCACCCACTAATGCATCTTTCTTGATGGTAAAATTTCCTTACCGCCCACCAGTGCTCAATGGAAGGAGGATTCAGCTTGTGCCATAGAACCCCCTACTCACCTACTGCCTACCTAGAATCCTGAAACACCCACTAGTGGGCGGTAGGGACCGGGTTGACATCCCCTGGTCTAGTGCAAGAAAACCCATGAATCCAGTTTTGGACATAACACTTAGCCAAATCATGGCTTAGTTCACAGCAATGTGGCAGCAGCAGGACTAGAGGGAGGAGCAAAGTGGCTGCAATGTTCTGTTTATCTATCTGATAACAATATTAAGAACAAACAAAGCTATTTAAGTTTATTACTTATATTTTGTGTTTGCACTGTTGCTCTACTGTTGTTGAGCTTTGATTTAAACTGATACTTGCTTTGTATTGCAATATAAAAATAAATAAACTTGAAATGTTGCAGATCGAACAAAATCCACTTTCACTTCTTTGTTCCTTATAGATGGGTGATGGAAACTGCATCCGGTACAAAGACCTACATGCCCTCTTTGAACAAATTCTGGAAAAAACAATGAGGCTTGAACAAAGAGACTGGCGTGAATCGCCTGTCCGGGTGTGGGTCAATACGTTCAAGGTCTTTTTGGACGAATACATGACAGAGTATATGCCTTCGAATTGCACTGCCTTAAAGGTAAACTGGTCCTACCAAATTATTACTCTTACATCGCACTGGAATAAGGATCACATTCTTTTTCTGTACTTTAAGAACCTCCCTCTTGTGACCTTACTACCTCTTAAAGCTTTGTTTTGTAGAAAGGGCATTCGTTGCTGAGGTCCTGGCACTAACCACTTTCCTTGCAGTTTGTAATATCTCTCATAGTCTCCCTAATTAGTATGTTAAATAACAAATGCAATTTGAAAAGGTTAGCTTGCAGTAATCAACATAAAATTAAGATCATGAAGTGTCAGTGTGAGGTGAGAAGGTGAAGTGGCAGCTCTGGGAGGAGACAAGTCATTGTGTGCATACCTGGGGAGCAGCAGCTGCCAATCCAGACCTCCCTCAACCTCAGTGCTACCTCACCCCACCCCAGTGAGCAGCAACACTACCCCCAGAAGTCTGCAGCTTTACCCACACAAACCACACTCCACTGTTGCAGAGCATAATGCTTTACTGGAGATGGACATCTATTTTACATGGTAAAACCTTTGTGCCTGGGGACTGCTCATCTCTAGAAAAGCACATGGATGAAGATAATTTTTGCAAGCTATTGACTGTATCCTTCATTAGTCCTACACAGAATAGGCCCATTGAAATTAATGAACACAACTAACTTAGGTCCATTCATTTCAGTGGGTCTACTTTGAATAGGACTTAGTTGCAGGCCCAGCCCACCCATGAGGCAAGGTGCGGCAACCGTCTCAGGTGGCAGGATCCACAGGGGCAGCAGATACTTATTCAGGGCCGGCCCACCAACGAGGCAAGGTGAGGTGACTGCCTCAGGTGGCAGGATTTACCGGGGCAACAGATCCCAATGTAGACCTTCCCTCACCCCTTCTTCCCTAGCAGGGAGGGGGACATCATTTGGGGGTCTGCCTCAGGTGCCAAAATGTATTGGGCTGGCCCTGCTTAGTTGAATACAGTGGTGCCCCGCAAGACGAATGCCTCGCAAGACGAAAAACCCGCTAGACGAAAGGGTTTTCCGTTTTTGAGTTGCTTCGCAAGACGATTTTCCCTATGGGCTTGCTTCGCAAGACGAAAACGTCTTGCAAGTCTTGCGATTTTTTTCGCTTTCCCCCCCTTTTTCTAAGCCGCTAAGCCGCTAATAGCCTTTTAGCCGCTAAGCCTTTAATAGCCGCTAAACCGCTAATAGCGCTAATCCGCTAAGCCTCTGATAGGGTTGCTTTGCAAGACAAAAAAACCGCTAGACGAAGAGACTCGCGGAATGGATTATTTTCGTCTTGTGAGGCACCACTGTACAGTCTCATAATTGTACACCTATGAGCTCACATCTTTTAAATGGCTGCCATTCTAAAATAGAACCAAGTCTATTGGACAGAGCTGGAAGCATGGAAGCATGCTAGAGTGCTGCAGACTTGAAGTGCAATGACAGAGGGATGTACTGGGCAGGGGAGAAGCATTATATGAGTTATCAAATGTCCACCTGACATTAATTGGTCCCTTGAAAAGTGCTTGTGAAGGATTGAAAGATACATGAGGAGGCAGAATGAACCGTAGGGGTGACTGGGAGAACAGATTCTGAACCTGTTAATTTCTGATTTAGCTCCTTCTGTTTCAGGTAACCAAAACAGAAAGAAAAAAGAGAAGGAAGAAGGAAGCAGATGTTGTAAGTTGAAAACTTTCTTCTTTCATTGTTTAGTTTAAATGCATTATTTTGCAACAAGTATTTAGGAAGGTCTGTTCCAGGAGTAGGGAACCTGTGGCTCTCCAGATGTTGCTAGACTACAACTTATATCACCCTTGACCATTGGCATTGCTGACTGGGGCTGATGGGGGTTATATGTGTGAAGGGCACCAGGTTCCTCACCCCTGGTCTATTCCCTCATAATGAACTCAAACACTACAACTACTGGTCCACAAGTTCATTAGATGTTGCTTGTGTGCCTCTTGAATCCTATTGGCTTTTAGTGTCGGAATGCAAGCACATCATTCTACTTTGATATAACAGTCATAGAATGGCTGATAATTCTGTATGAGCCATAGCTGAAGCTAGGAATCACTTAACAGGCCATGGGTCCTGAACAAAAAAGTTGCATTCTTGTAGTCATAAAGGAATAAAGTACTTTTATATATTTCAGAAATTAAGCAATCAGCTCTGTAACATTTGTGCCACCTAGTGAAGCAACCCAGAGTTATAGATCAGGAACAGATCTTCAGAAAGCATGTTTTTTGGTTAATTTTATAGTGGCTATAAGACAGCTTTCATCAACTTGGTGCCCTCCAGTGCCAAGTGTTGGGAGTTGTAGTCCATAACATCTGGAGGGTACCAGGTTGGCAAAGGCTTCTGTGGGATAATGTACTAACTGTGTGTATGGACACATATTGGTAATCTTAACTGAAATATGTAGAACATTGGGGCTTGCCTTTATGGACAATGGGATTCATAGTTCAGTTTATTTCACTCTGCTTTTGGTGCTTATCCGAGTGACACTCTTCGCATTAACTTGGCTGTGGTTGAATTTATAGATCTGCTTGCCCTAACAGCTATTTTTAGAATGAACTACAGACTGCAATTAGTTCACTTTATAATTTGAATCATTAGACTGCTGTCCTGCTGTTGAACACAACCCAGATCTTGCTCAGCATCATTACTAATGACAAGAAAATTGGGGCTCCCCAGTTGCACAGTCCCTCGTGAAGTAAGATATGACAGTGGGAGAAGATCAAAATCTCATAAGCCTTAATTATGAGCATCAGGGACTAGGATTCTCTGCCAGTACTCTGCTGATAACTTTCTAATGGTTGTAACTTTCTGGGACAGCCACAGCGTTGAATGGATTATGAGTCTGATCAAGTAGGACATTTTTATATGTTAAATTATTTGGCATATCACATGCATTCTGGGATATCAGGGAGCCAGCAGGGCCAAGAATGCGTTTTTAGCATTCCACCCAAACAGTGAAATAGCAGCTGTCTGAAATGCTTTGGTATAGCTTAGTTTAGCTTTTTAGCAGAAGGGTAAACACTCAAAACTGTTTTCAGCTGTCACTGAATGTCAAACTGAATTTTTCTTGTAGGTAGAAGAACATAATGGTCACATTTTTAAGGCCACTCAGTACAGCATTCCCACTTACTGTGAATTCTGTTCCTCCCTGATATGGATCATGGACAAGGCTTCTGTTTGTAAATGTAAGCATGAAACATTTACTCTTACTGATCTTACTGATGCACTCTTCCCATCTGCACTCTTTCCTTCCTTTTTTTTAAAGCCACCCCCCTTAATAGACATTTGTCTTGGATCCAAAAAGCATATGGAATATAATAGTGACTATTTGCACGTGAAAGTTTTCACTGTTTTCCCTCTTTGAAATCAGTCAGAAAAAGCAGCAGCAAGTTGTAGTGTACGAACAAGCCATATTTATACCATCCTATTTCCCGATATTAGAATTATGCGTCCAGTTCCTAAAATCCACCCTGCCACTGTCCTCTGCTTATCCCTTCCATGACACAAAGTATTTCAGGATGGGCACAGGATGGGCACAGTCAGTTGCCAACAGTGAACAGCATGTTCTGAAGGCCCTCCAGGTTTTAAATCCTGCATTTGCTCCAAAGTTCTAATGCTGGAGGGAATCAGCAGGTGTGATGGGGTACTCAACCAATTCCCCCTTTTAAAATGCTTTCCTGTCAGCATGAGACACAGTACAGCAGCATTCGAGTGTATTAATTGTTGTGTTCCTGATTTCAGTATGCAAGCATGCTTGCCACAGAAAGTGCTGCCTGAGGACCACAACCAAGTGCCCCAAAAAGGTAAGGTTTCTTTCATCTTCAGCTTGCAGTGGTTTTTCAATATTCCCTGATATAACTTGCATTATTGGATAGTGAAGGACCTCAATTTGAAATATGGAAAATCCAGATTGCTATGGCAAAGTGAGTCTTCTGCTAGGCTCTCGTCTTCAACTCTGCAGCATAGGTTCTTTGTCAGCCCCACTTACCACATGGAGAAAGCTGTTCATATCTTCCTCACAGTTTATAGATAATGTAGGACCTGTGTTGCAACTGCCATAACAATATTGATTTTCTAAGGCCCTTACTATAACTTAAGTGCCTTAGTATTGACCATTTGATTCCACAGCACCCACTAATTTTATACTCCTGGTTTCCAGATAAATGAGTAATGAATATGAAAATAAGGAGAATTAATTTAGTTGCTGGCCTGCCTCTAAACTGTTCCTTTTCATTTTTCTGTGTTTAGTTCATTCAGTCAGTGGCTGATGTGACTTTGGGTAATGTATTAGGACGTAGCATGGGCAAAACTGTGATATTTGAGATATCCTTTGAGATACTCTCAGGGTATATGTTTTTGTGAACCAGGGTGGCTAACTCTTTCTGTATGTAACTAGCAGTCTTTTTCTTTTCACTGTGAAGCCTGGAAATACATTTGGAAGTATTTCTTTGAAGCAGTTTCTGTTTACGTTGTCCCTGGTCTGACCGATCCAACCCCCCCATCCCCCGGATTGTGCATGTGCTGTGTTGTGTTGTGAATAAACCAGATTTGCACAATTTCTGATAAACTATAGATGATAGGTCACACACAGTTAGGGTACTAATTACTTGAAAATAAATAAGATGGTTGTACTGTTTATTAGAAATAAAATCCTAATCTAGCTGTTTTGCTGGGCCTGCTGTCAAAAATTTAGCAAACAAGAAATGAGGGTATCCCATCCAAGTAAAATCTAGATAATGTGAGGTTTTCCCATACTAGAGGCTAAGTTGTTTGCTGCTTAGATCTTGTGTATTAAATGTTTGAATCCAGAAAAAGCAAGCTTAGAAAGAATAATAGTACAGTAATGCTGGAACAGTTGGCTTGAGATGATGTGGTGGTATCACTGAGATTTTATCTACTTTGAGTCAGGGTTTTCCATTTTAAGAATGTTTCAAGTTTTTCAATGGTTACAGAAAATGTAACATGAAATGTGAATGAAAAAGTTTATTGAAGAATTCAGCCAAATCTCATGACTTCTGTGGCCTTGGGGCCTACCTTGTTATTTGGAAACTTTTTGATTAATACTTCCTGGCAATTTCAGTCTAAAGCAGTATTCTTATATCAGGATGGTGCTTCAATTCAGGAATGTATTGTTATGCCGAATTTAGAAAATATTAGTGGATCTCAGACATTCTCTTACCTCCTGGTCACTTCATTTTAGGAGGGCTGCCTATTTTCCTCCCTTTCAGTGGCAGCCCTGTAGTTTTTTAGTCATAGTTTGCAGTGACTGATCATTCTTATGCCATAATAAAGAGTGCTTACAGGGCTGTCACAGCAAAAGTTAGATTATGCTGTAATCCTAAAGAGAAGAGTCTGTAATACCTCAACCCACTGTTTGACCCATTTTCTTCAGGTGCATTCCTGCATGGAGAGCCTTATCCAGTGAAAATCGCTCCCTTTTTTCATGTGTTAATTGTCATGTTGAATGAGAAAAAAGATAACCAAATGCTGGAAGATCCTGGTGTTGTGTCCCCTTTCTCATTCATTCCTTGGTTTGGGAACTCTTTGCACTTATGATCCAAGCTTGCTTTAAAGCCCTGCACTTTCCCCCTCAGTCAGAAGCTCTTGTCTAGGTGGAAGTGTGGTCTTAACTGTTGGCTGCGGAGTCGTTAAATGGTACAATATGAAAAAAGCATGTCCAGGTCTTCCAATAGCCTAGTCACAGCCTAGTCATGTTAATTTCTCAGGCTACTGATGGTTTATTTATCTCTGCGCTGAGAATTCCTACTGTTATGCATTCACCTGCAAAGCTGAGGCTTGTGGAATGGGAGTCCTGCACTTCAGCAAACCAAGCAGGAAAGCCTAGAGAGAAGGGCAGAGTCAGGAGCAGCCTTGGATGGGGACTGCTTTTCAGAGCCATTTTTTTGACTGCGGCTCCACTTTTAGCTTTCAGTTTTTCTTTGCTGTTAATTGGGACTGTGCTGCTGCTGCTGCTGCTAACACAGTGGTGTGAACACAGGAGTATAACAAGAACAACATCTATCTAGGAAAATGCCTTTCCTCGGTCTCTTTTTCTTATTCATACTATGCAGATTTATAGACTTTTTCACAGTATAAAGCCAATGAAGTAGTGCACAAGATAAAAACAGACTAAAACTAGGTGCCAGGCAAAAAGCTATCCTTTATAACCAGCTCTTTGGCCTTTGACTATCTGTGGGCTTTGAGAAGTGGGTGGGATGTCTTTAATGCAGTGGTTTTCTCCTGAGACTCAGAGTGTTTCCCTATGGGGGTACCACAGAAATAATGTAGTTTGTCAACAGAGCCGTGGACTCGGAAAGGTTGAAAACCTCTGCATTAATGTGTTCCCCGTCTCTTTCATTAATGTGTTTAAAGTCTCTTTCTAGGGTTGGTTGGTTGGTTGTAAGTCGCTTTGAATTGCCTTGGCAAGAAAAAGTGACAAACAAATTTAATAAATAAATACATAAATAGTAATAAAACTGACAAACACAATTTCTAAAAATAATATCAATTCAACAAACTCTAAAATTAATAAAAACCATCTATATACAAACTGTAAAAGCAACAAAAAAATTCATCAGATAAAGGTTTTAAAACTCCACAACTGTCTTTCAATACTGTCTCATATAGGTTTGAAAATTTTGCAATTGCTGTTTCTAAAGCTATGTGCTTCTCTCATGCTTGAACCTGTTACCAGGATCCATCATAATGCATCCTTGGTTTACTGAACTTTGGACAATATTGATTTGTTGCCTCTTAAAAGACACTGATAACCTCATCTCTGTTCCTCTAGTACGATCCTGAGCTTTCCTCGCGGCAATTTGGGGTTGAACTCTCCCGTCTGACCAGTGAAGAGCGAACAGTGCCATTGGTATTTGAGAAGCTCACCAGCTATATAGAAATGCACGCACTGTACACAGAGGGCATTTACCGGAAATCCGGATCAACCAATAAGATCAAAGAGTTGCGGCAGGGACTGGACACAGGTGAGGAGGCCTTCTAGAAAAGAGGAATCCTCTTCCTCCTGATGACATGCAACACAGATCCACACTGTTTTAGAGCTATAGGCTCAATTTGTACATCACTCCTAATTATGGTAAAGGAAGCTTGACTAGACTTTGGCATAATAGTTGAATTTACAAATAATTTTTGACTATGAGCCAGCAGACCAGAACTGGGAACGTGCTTTGAAGTAAACCATAGTTTGTGCCAGCTTTTGTTCACTCTTTGAATGGATATTATAAAAATATTTTTATATAATTTTATATAATTATTTTTAATAATTAAGATTCCCTCCCCCTCTTTCTTTTTTCTTTTCCTTTCTCCTCCTGTGATGAGGCTACATTTTAATATTTTAATGTATTTTAATTTTGTTTTTAAGTTGTATTCATTCAACTTATTTTTATTATTGCTTGTTAGCCGCCCTGAGCCCGGCCTTTGCTGGGGAGGGCGGGCTATAAATAAAAATTATTATTATTATTATTATTATTATTATTATTATTATTATTATTATTAACTATAGCTATGGTCATTGTGTCGTCACCAAGGGCTTGTGGATTATAGAATTGGGTGTGCTGAACATAAGGAAGATGAAAACAGATAAGCAGGTCTTGACAATGCGTTTCTGCATGTTTGCAAGCTTGGAAGCTCAAACATTGGTTTGGACTCTAAAATCATAGTTGGCTGTGATATTTGAAGTTGACTTTTTGTATCGTATATAAGGGTGACAAAGAGCTCAGTAGTTTCTGACCCATCCCCACAAGCAAATCCTTGAAAGCATCCTCTGTGCTGTGTTTTTGTCTGCCTCAACTGTTACCTTAGCATAGAGCTGTTGGCTTGATCACTAAAAAGCAAAATATAATTTCCTTCTTAACAATTTTCTTCCAATCTGCTTGCCTCCCTTCTCTTTTAACTAGATATTGAGAGTGTGAATCTTGATGACTACAACATCCATGTCATTGCCAGTGTGTTCAAACAGTGGCTGCGGGATTTGCCTAACCCTCTCATGACATTTGAATTTTATGAAGAATTTCTGCGAGCTATGGGTAAGAAAATGTGTACTTGCAAATGACGACTGCTTAAAACCTGCATACAAAAAAGAATGAAGTTCTACTTAGAGGAGTTCAACTTTTTTTTAAGATACTGAACTAAAAAGTTTCATTTCCCACAATAGGATTGTACAGTATTGTGTTCTCTGCCAAATGATCATTTTTACAGCTTGCTTTTTTGTCCAGGAGGATATTTGCATGCAGAAAGTCTGTAAGGTTGCTGTAGTAATTCCACTAGGACTAAACTACAGCAACACATTTTACATGGGGCTGCCTTTAGCTGTTCTGGAGCTTCAAGTTGAAGATAAGCAGAAATAACAACAGGTGCTGTCACCATTATCACTGTATGCCACTTTTCCATAGTTAAACCATCCTCAGAGTGGTTGTTACATAACTACAAAAAAGCAGTCAAAAGCAATAAATGAAAACATCACAGTAAGTATACAGTAAAATGAAGCAGTCCCCCCATAACTAACAATAAAGGTACAAAAACATACCAATAATTAAGCATATTCAGAGTTGAATACTAACCACGACCCAAACTCCTAAACAATACCTTACCCCAGAGGTTTTCAACCTTTTTGAGTCCGTGGCTCCTCTGACAAACTACATTGGTATTTCTGTGGTACCCCCATGGGGAAACACTCTTGAGTTTCAGGAGCGCAATTATGCCTGCGAAGCCATCAACTCCTCTTTTTTTATATAAAATATTTATTGAACATTTTAGACATTATAATCACCCAACACACATATAGATCCATCACCAAAACACAATAAACAAAGAAAAACATAGAAAAAGAAAAAGTTAACACATAATACAAAAAACATAACCATATTTTCTTCACTTTTTGCACTTCCTCACATCTCTCGTTCCTGCGTTCCTGGTTTATAAAATTTTAAACAGCAAATTATCACCTTGTTTCAATTCTTATTTTGTATTCTTCCAATATTCTGTCTCTAATTTTGAATACTTTTATCAAAAACTTAAATACTTAATTTAGACGTAACATTACTCCAAAATTTATCTTCTTCTCTAGTCTCACCTATTCTCATATTCCTTTCAGCTAGTTTGCTGGTGCCATGTTATTTTCTGTCTTGCATCCTTCCTAGCACTCATACAATTTACAATGTTTTTGTAAATAGTCCTTAAATTTCTTCCAATCCTCTTCCACTGCTTCTTCTCCCAGGTCTCGGATTCTGCCAGTCATTTCTGCCAATTCCATGTAGTCTGTCAGTTGCGTCTGCCATTCTTCCAGCGTGGGCAAATCTTGGGTTTTCCAGTGTTTAGCGATAAGTATCCTTGCTGCAGTAGTTGCATACATAAAAATTGTTCGGTCCTTCTTTAACACCCTCTGGCCAACAATGCCCAAAAGGAAGGCCTCTGGTTTCTTAGGAAAGGTGTATTTAAATACCTTTTTCAACTCATTATATATCATTTCCCAGAAAGCCTTAACCCTAGGGCAAGCCCACCAGAGCTGAAAAAACGTTCCTTCAGTTTCTCTACATTTCCAACATTTGTTGCCAGGCAAATGATATATTTTTGCAAGCTTAACTGGGGTCATGTACCACCTGTATATCATTTTCATAATATTTTCTTTTAGGGCATTACATGCCGTGAACTTCACACCGGTGGTCCATAACCTTTCCCAGTCAGCAAACATGATATTGTACCCAATGTCCTGTGCCCATTTTATCATAGCTGATTTAACCGTTTCATCCTGTGTATTCCATTTTAACAGCAAGTTATACATTTTTGAAAGTACCTTGGTCTTAGGTTCTAACAGTTCTGTTTCTAACTTCGATTTTTCCACCTGGAATCCTATCTTTTTGTCCAAATTAAAAACCTCTTTAATCTGAGCATAATGTAGCCAATCTCGCACTTTATCTTTTAATTTCTCCAAACTCTGCAACCTCCAAGTATCTCCATCCTTTTCTAATATTTCCCAATATTTCGGCCATTTGGCCTCCATATTGAGTCTTTTCTGGGCCTTGGCTTCCATTGGTGACAGCCACCTTGGGGTCTTGTTTTCTAATAAGTCTTTATATTTTGTCCAGACATTAAACAATGCTTTCCTGACAATATGGTTCTTGAAAGCCTTATGACTTTTAACCCTGTCATACCACAAATATGCATGCCATCCAAAAGCGTTATTAAATCCTTCCAGGTCTAAGACATCAGTGTTTTCAAGAAGTAGCCAGTCCTTCAACCAGCAGAAAGCTGCTGATTCATAGTACAGCCTTAAGTCTGGCATACAACCTGCATACAAAAAAGAATGAAGTTCTACTTAGAGGAGTTCAACTTTTTTTTAAGATACTGAACTAAAAAGTTTCATTTCCCACAATAGGATTGTACAGTATTGTGTTCTCTCCCAAATGATCATTTTTACAGCTTGCTTTTTTGTCCAGGAGGATATTTGCATGCAGAAAGTCTGTAAGGTTGCTGTAGTAATTCCACTAGGACTAAACTACAGCAACACATTTTACATGGGGCTGCCTTTAGCTGTTCTGGAGCTTCAAGTTGAAGATAAGCAGAAATAACAACAGGTGCTGTCACCATTATCACTGTATGCCACTTTTCCATAGTTAAACCATCCTCAGAGTGGTTGTTACATAACTACAAAAAAGCAGTCAAAAGCAATAAATGAAAACATCACAGTAAGTATACAGTAAAATTAAGCAATCCCCCCATAACTAACAATAAAGGTACAAAAACATACCAATAATTAAGCATATTCAGAGTTGAATACTAACCACGACCCAAACTCCTAAACAATACCTTACCCCAGAGGTTTTCAACCTTTTTGAGTCCGTGGCTCCTCTGACAAACTACATTGGTATTTCTGTGGTACCCCCATGGGGAAACACTCTTGAGTTTCAGGAGCGCAATTATGCCTGCGAAGCCATCAGCTCCTCACCCCTTTTCAGACACCCTCCCTTGTGGAGGCGTCCCTCAGATTCCTCTCCCCTCTCCTCATGAGTCCTCACCCACCTGCTTGCTTATTCTGAGGACACCTCAGCTTTTGGCAACCAGCACCCCCTGGCCAGCCCTAGAGGCACCATTTGCCTAGGGAGCTTGTAGCCTTTGGGAGGCAGAGACACAAGAGGGCATCCGAGGGAAGAAAGGAGGGACAGAGGCCGGTGCTGCATGCAGTACACCTGACCATCATTCAAGGCGCCCCAGGGTGCCATGCTACACTGGTTAAAACCACTGCCCACCCCAATAGTCTCTAGACATTCTGAGCAGCAGGTTTTGCAGGCACAAAGATAAGATTGGCCTTTCACAAGCAACAGCTTTTGTAGCTAGACTCAGTCCTCCCTCCTGGGCTAGTGGAAACAGGCTAGTGAAGCAGGGAGGTTGTCTATGTATGGGTCACTATATGCTAGCTGGGTTCTTTCTTTGCACTGCAGACACAAGTCAAGTGCTGATTTTTAAGTCCCACTAGCACCCTTATTAGCAATGCTATCCCTGTGCCACATTTGGATTGCAAGAGCACTTCCTCTCCTAGGAGGCTCACCAAAACCTGAGCATTAGGCAGCTTCTGAGACACGTTTGCTGACGTTTGGAGGGCTAGAGTGAAGCCGGTGGGTGTGAGAATAGGATGTCTAGCAATTGGATCTTAAATTTTAATTTGAAGAGGACTTTGTATTATTGAAGAATTCTAGTATGTGTTCCGGTGAATTGAATTAAATGTGCTTTCTGCAGGTTTGCATGAGAGAAAGGAGGCCATTCGTGGGGTCTATTCAGTGATCAGCCAGCTTTCTGGTACTCATCTGAGTACCTTGGAGCGACTGATCTTCCACCTTGTAAGGTAATGAATGATAGTAGGATTTTTTCCTCTTTCCCACAATGTATATCATCATGTAACATATATGTCCCCTATCTTCCTGTAAGCATCCTTGTGGTGGCAAACTGCATGCTCAGAGACTTGTGCATGTATACTGTAGCCATGCAGTGTGGCAAAAAAGCTGCCTTGGATATCAAGTTTTGTGTGTCGCCGACTTGCTTAAAATCACACTGATTATGATCTCCCAATGAGCACCACAATCCAAACACACACAGCAGCAGCAGCTAGTCAAATTGTTCTAGGTAATTAGTCACTGTCCTTCAGTTCTCAAGCAAAACGTTAGAATTTGGGTCTTTACCCTGTGGTCCTCATGTAAGTGGAAAATATATTATTCTTATTCTAACACACTTGCAGTGCTGAATGTGGCCAGCACAGATGTGCCTAACAGGCCATAGAAATTGGCACCTTTGTATGCCATCAGTGCTGAGGTCATAAATAGAAGAGGTGTGGCAAAATGTAGCTCATGAATTGGGCTCTTATGTTTTAAGGAAGAACTTTCCCCACAGTCTTTGAGAGTCCGTTCCCATATCTCTTTACATCCCATCCCCAGCATATTTGGTTTTCTTTCTCTTTAACCTGTGTCCAAACTTTGTAATTTCCAACTTTGTGCCTTCTGACAAAAAAATGATGGTGTCATATTTTGGTGCTGTTTAGAATTGCCCTAGAGGAGGAGACGAATCGGATGTCAGCTAATGCCCTGGCAATTGTGTTTGCTCCCTGCGTTCTCCGCAGTCCAGATACTACTGACCCTCTTCGGAGTGCTCAGGATGTCTCTAAAACCATCAGGTAAAAAAATACATGCTGCATTGTAATTTCTGAAGCCTTCTCTATAATGTGCCACACCTCTGTGAGCCTGCCAGTTTTTTTCTGTTGTGCTACTTTGCTTGTGTGGGAAGGGAGGTGCCCTCTGAAAGCTGAGAGGGTGGGAAAGAATAAATAGTGGATGGGAAAGAATAAACCTTTTACATAGGAGGGGAAACCCCCCAGTGCCTCTTTCTCCAGAGAACTACATAGGGAGATAGTTGCTTTTTACAGTTTTAAGGAGTCATGAATAGCCTTGTGAGACACTTATCAGCCATTACACCAACCCCACTCTAATCTTAGACTGATGAGCATGCCTAGTAATAATCATACCTCACACCAAGGAAACAGATGGAGGCCGCTCTCCATACTGGGACTGGGAACAAAGATCCAAGGCTAAATGTGGGCATGTAGAGGTGAATAGCAATTAACACAGTTGTTGTCTGAAAAGGCAACTGAGTGATAGCAATACAGAAGTCAGATGTGCAGATTGAGAGGAAGAAGGAGCAGAGGTCAAGAGAAAGAAGGGGGAGGCAAAATCAACTGTGAAAGAAAGTGAGACCCATCACTTTCCCACCCGCTCAGCTTCAGGCCATCTTTATGGCCCCATTTCTGTATTTATTCTCACTGTCTGGTGGGTATCTTGCTATTGATAAATTATTAGTGGAAACTTGTGAAAACCCTTCCCCAGAATAGACTAAATATGTGCAGTGGGGGATAAGTTCTACACTTTCTATCTCCACCCCAATTTATTGTGTTCAGCCAGCAGTCTCAAAGAGACTTCTATGTGTATTTAATTGTACATGATGATGAAAAATTGCATTCTTACCTCCAATGGAGAGAAAGGATGGGTGGGAAGTGATGTTTTTTCTCTCCCTACTGCAGTAAGCATCAACACCCTTCTTCTGAAATGCTTCTAATCACACACACACTTGCAGAAATTCCAGGGTTGGTGCTTTTGAGGGGGCAGCCTTAGTACCTGCATACAATACACTGTGAAATTGTGGAGAATGTTTCAGGGGAATCTCTAAAGATGACCCATAGTGAGACTGGACTTGTCAGTCATATTGGTGGCAGGCAGGGAGTACTGCTGTGGAAATGAGATCCCTGAAGTGGCAGTCATCAGAATGTACTTGGTTCCAGTTTCTCAGTCATAATGTTCAGAACAAGAAAATTTTCAGATTTATCTGCTTCTGTATACATCCTAAAGTCAAATGTAGCTCAGTTTTCCATCTTAACACGTTTTCTCTTTCAGCTGCATTGAGCTGATTGTTGTAGAGCAAATGGACAAATATCGGGCTCGCCTTAAAGACATCAGTAGCCTCGAGTTTGCAGAGAACAAGGCCAAGAGTCGGCTCTCGATGATCAGGAGGTCTATGGTAAGGAGAAGGAGTGGATGAATTCCTGGCTGACCATCATAACAGGAAGAAATTTATACCAAGACCCGTGGTCTTCCTGTTCCCCAGTCAGCCCACATTTGTTAGTGTAACTTTCCTCTTCAAGCGAGAATTTGGAGATGATAGATTGTGTGTGTGTTTCAATGCCACACTTGTTTAACAGCAGATTTGTTTAATACAGTATCTTGGAGCTGAGAACACATCCATGTCTCTTCTCTCTCTCCCCCCCCCTCTCTCCCTCTCTCTCTCTCCTCTTCCCACTTCCCCAATCTCCTCTTCTTCATGTCTTTCCAAACCTTACACATCCTCAAAACCTTTTAACACACAGTTAGGTCTAGCACATAAGCTAAAGTTTGGCTTTATCCTGGATCGAGTCTTCAGAGCTGCAGATGTGTACAAAGCAAAAACTCAGAGAAGGTGGGGAGCAGTGTGTCTCTGGCATTATCCCACAAAGACCAACCCATTAGTTCCTTGGTGGGGGTCTGATATTTTTACTTCTCGTGGTTGCCTTGGTGAATTTGGGCCACTTTAGCTTGTGTGCAATTGGCCTTCCTCCGTGAGCAACACTTCTTAGCATCTGGTTCTCCTTAATCCTACAGTGCTCTCATCTGACACAGAACAGGCTTCCATTTGCTTCCCTCCCACATGCACGTGCCAGTGGGAGAACCTGTGAAGCTGCCATGCATATTTCAGTCCAGCACATGCTGAGCTCCTTTTAGCAGGTTGCTTCCTCTTGCCTCGCTGCCTTTCTGAAATATGAAAAGCTTGCGCACTGTTAGCTGGGCTGCTGAGTTGAAAGGCAGTCTCCGGCGCTGAAATGGCCTGTGTTTTCCTCTGTTTGGAGATGAACACATGGCAGGCTTTGTAATGTGTCACATTATCTGCTTATATAATAGGGCTTGGCTAGTCATGTGGCAGGTGACCCAGTTACACTGCTGGAAGCAAGCATGGGCACTCTGAGTCCTCTCAGCATGCTGTATTGAGAACACACAATCAGCGCTAATCCACCTCTTTTATGCAGCACACAGTGGCTTGTGGTTTACTTATGCTTTCTCACAGTTGCAGCTGAGACCTGGCTTCCGTTTGAAAGCCTAGCGCCTCTTTGAGAAGGGTGATGGCACGTGCACTCTAACCTGCTCCTTTCCTTTTCCTATCCTCTCTAATCCAGAAACCTGTACTAATTGCCGTTAGATTTATGAGCATAACCCGCAGTTCGATCCCGGTATGTATCAGAATTGCATTGCACTGACCTTGTGCTGTAACCCTCCACTCATTTCAGTGCTGCTGCATGCTCCATGCCCCAACACACTTCATAACTGTGTGTGTGTGTGTGTGTGTGTGTGTGTGTGTGTGTTCGTTCGTTCTCCCTTAAACTGTCCTTGGGTTCTTCTGGTAGAAAATAGGTACCAACAGGAAGCACAGATGAGGCCAGTTTTCCACAGGGGTGGCAGGAAAGGACTCTGAATAGTGACTGAGGTTGCAGTGAGCCAAGTACCGTATTTTTTGATCTATAAGACTCACTTTTTCCCTCCTAAAAAGTAAGGGGAAATGTGTGTGCGTCTTATGGAGCGAATGCAGGCTGCACAGCTATCCCAGAAGCCAGAACAGCAAGAGGGATTGCTGCTTTCACTGCGCAGCGATCCCTTTTGCTGTTCTGGCTTCTGAGATTCAGAATATTTTTTTTTCTTGTTTTCCTCCTCCAAAAACTAGGTGCGTCTTATAGAGTGCTTTCTTCCAGCATCTGATCTGCAAGTGGTCTCTAGAGGAGTGTAAAACACCAGCCTGTCTCTGCTACTGATGGAACAGCTTTCCAGTCACAGATTGAGGCTGGACTTCCAGGCAATTCCAAACAACTAAAGCAGGGATGGGGAACATATGGCCCTCAAGGTGTTGTTGGACTCCAACTCTCATCAGCCCTAGACAGCAGGACCACTGGTCAGGGATTACAGAAACTAGTCCAGCAACATCTGGAAGGCGCCACATTGCCTGTCCCTGAACTAAAAGTATATCAGAGTAAAGCTAGTTCACTTGGAAAGTTGTGTTTGTGATTTGTGACCTTACCATTCCCTTGAGCTGGTTTCCTTACATTTTTATTTTCTTCTTTTCTGCCTTCTCTACTAACCCTTTATTTTCTTCTAAGTGATTTTTCTCTTCCTTGTCTTGCCCGATTGATCAGTCCTTATTTTCATGTTAAGATCCTAAGCAACAATTGCTTGGAAGAGGGCAAATTCAAATCCATCCTTCTGAAAAGCTATTTCCCCATCCAACTTTTATTAAACCTAACAACAACCACCACCAACATGAGCGCAACCTTAGCTAGAATTCTCAAGAAGAACCAGAAAACAAGAAAGTGTCCATTACCCTGCCAGAGAGGGGCAGTGTAGGAGTCTGTTTTCCCCCTCTTCTTGCTAGAAGAAATGCCAGTGGTAGTTATGAATCTTCCTTGCACATAAATGAACATAGGAAGTTGCCTTGCACCGAGTCAGATCTGTCTAGATCAGTATTGTCTCCAGGAACTCACTGCTGCTCTCCAGAGTGTTTCACTTTATCAGAAGTAGGGTACTGCCAGTGTTGGTTCATCTTGACTGGTTTGTTTGCTCTGACCATCAGTGGCTCTGTAGGATCATAGGCAGGGATCTTTCACAACACCTGCTACTCAGGATGCATTTAACTGAAGTGCCTGGGATAGAAGTTGATACCCCTTAGGCATACAAAGCACATGTTCTATCACTGAGATACAGCTCAAATAATTGGATTCAATTGGATACTAAATATAGGTAAAGGTACAGGGACCCCTGACCATTAGGTCCAGTCGTGACCGACTCTGGGGTTGCGGCACTCATCTCACTTTATTGGCCGAGTGAGCCGGCGTACAGCTTCCGGGTCATGTGGCCAGCATGACTAAGCCTCTTCTGGAGAACCAGAGCAGCGCACGGAAACGCCGTTTACCTTCCCACTGGAGCGGTACCTATTTATCTACTTGCACTTTGACGTGCTTTCGGACTGCTAGGTTGGCAGGAGCAGGGACTGAGCAACGGGAGCTCACCCCGTCAGGGGGATTCAAACCACCGACCTTCTGATCGGCAAGTCCTAGGCTCTGTCGTTTAACCCACAGCACCACCCACATCCCATATACTAAATATAGTCCTGTTTAATTTTTTTCAACAACAACAACACCGGTGGGGCATAACCACATTAGAGAATCAAATATATTTAAATTTAGATAAGCATTCGGACATTACTGTGAGTGGAACAACCTGTCCCACACATACAAATTTAACACAGGCCTTTTCTGGAGGAGGCGGAGCTCGGGGGGTGGCAATTCTGAGCAGAGGAGCAGTGGAGATGAAGAGTGAGTGGTGTTTCATCTACCTGCCACATCCCTGCCTCAAATCGCTGCTCCCAAACAACTTTTCCTTTGGGATTTCAAGCACATCTTTCTGAGAGTGCACATCTACAATTCTTTAGGCAGAAAAGCCGCTGTACAGATTGGAGTACAGATCTGGCAGTCTGAGAGGGGGATTCAGTGCCTTCTCCCCACCACTTTTCTCAAGAGCTCTTTCACTTGAAGCTGCTTTTCCCTAAGAAAAACAATTACTGGACATTTTCTGTACCTGCACGTGGGTGTACTGTGCAATTGCCTTCATGCCCTTTCCCAAACCAGCTGGCAGGATGCTGAAGTAGATGGGACCATTTCATCTGATCCTTCAAAAGTTGTTTTTGTGTTTCTATGCAGATTCTCAATGGTGTATAGAAAAAGATCTTTCACACTCCATTCTCACTTTTGCAGTTATTCTTCTAGATTTAAATGCAATCTTGCAAGTGTGCAGTTCAAAGCCTTGACTCTTAAGAAAGCAAATTGTATCAAATTTGCTTTCAGCGCTTCGTTGGCTCTTCTTGCACAGAGGCGCAACCTTGGGACATTTTCTATTTATCTGGGACTACAGCACACAGTGTCCGTCTAAGAGGGAAAAGGGAATTCTTTCCTGTTATAAGAACGTCGGCTCCACCCTTTCAGAGGTCCAGGATTGCTTCTCTAGAGCAAGCTTATTCAAGAAGAAGAAAAGAGACAGCACTAAAGGAAATTGTATAAATTGAGACAGGTGTGATCCTGTAGGATCCAGTTCCTTAGGACAGTCTGGAACTGCCTGATCAGAATTTGAATATTTCATGGCACTGTCTTCAGGAATAGCTACCCTCATGCACTTGTTAGTCATGGAATTTCACTACACAGTGCAAAATGGAGGATAATCAACTATAGGTGGATTTATCTCTTGTTCTCAGACTTTCCACTTAGAAAAATACAAAGGTTTCTTACAATATTGTGTGGGAAGATTTTATATAGTACAGTATACTATATATAGTATAGTAATATAGTATATAGAAATCCAGATATTCTCTTCTTGCACAGATGCTTTGGCCAACAGACTGAGGCACCTTTGTTGTAAACTACATCTGTAGAATAAAGGAGTGACTTCCGATATCTGCCAAAATTCTGCTCATCATCTATAGTTGAAATGTTTTTTGTTTTTTTAAGAACCTCTGAAATAATTTGTGTGTCCTTAAGTGTGTATTTGCTTCCTGTTTTGTCTTTCTCTGCCAGTCACAAACAGGTATTGTTTGTTTCCTCATTATATTGCATACATATATCAGGGGTGTCAGTAATTTTCAGAGTGGGCTTAAAAGGCCATGCTCCTCATTAGCGTTACTGTGCCTGCAGGGAAAAGGTCGGCTACATCGTGGGGCCTACCCAAGTCCTTCATCTCCAGCTCCTCTCCGGTTGCCATCTGCCTCTGATGCTTCTGAAGAGGTCCTGAGTGGCGAAGAGGCCATGGAGGCGGAGGTCTCTGAGCAGCAGAAAGTTGCCATGCAGGAAGAAGAGAGAGTTTTGACGGAGCAGATTGAAAACCTTCAGAAAGAAAAGTAAGTCTGGATGAGTGGAACTGAGGAGCAGGGAACGGTGGTCAAGGTTGCCACGGTTCAAGAAATGAAAGCCTCACATAGGAGCTGGGTTGCACATTCAGATTGGGAGCAGGTTTGTGATAACCAAATGCTTTCTAGAACCATCCCAGCTGTAAATATCTTACAATGTATCTTCAGTTAAAATTGTTTGGTTTCGTTTGCCCAAGAATGTTTCCTCCTAATAATGTTGTGTTTTCTAGTGACCTAAATACTCCAGTACTTCCAGATTCCCTGCTCACGCTGCTGGTTTCACTTCTTCCCTTTAGTCCCAATTGTTTTTTGTTTGTTTCCTCAGGGAAAACTTAACTGTTGAGATGCTGGTACTAGACCCAAGAGCCTCTGATGATGAAACTCTGGAATCTGAGGCCTCCATTGGCACTGCCCACAGCTCTGAAAACCTGAACGTTGGTTATGAAGGAGACACTTTGGACAGAGCAGGTGAATAAAGACTGTTCATAGTTAATTCGTCCATATGCACAAGATGGGATTAACTATCTTTGGGTGTCTGTCTTTGCTTATGCATTATAACTGATGTGTCTGCTTTACCATATGCAAAGTTTGAAATATAAATCAGTTTTTTGTTGTTTTTTAATTTTTTATTAAAGATTTTCTTGTTTTACAGAAGTATGTGTAATGTCTCTCATATTTTTTCCATGTAACATTTTTACAAATCCGTTTCATTTGTTGAGACATTGGGGGGGGGAAGGGGGTAGAGGGAGGGAAGATGGGGGGGTGGGGTCGGGTGGTGGTGTTTCTGTTATGCTTAATGTATGTAGGGTTTGGTGTCAGCGCTGTTTGTTTTGTTCACTTGTGTTCCTTTGGTGGTAAGAGAGGTTGGGGTTGGCCTAGGGTGTGGTTGTTTGTTTGTGATTGGCTGTGGTGATCTTTGTTTTCGTGTGTGAGTGGGGTGGGTGGGTGTTTTGGATCAGGTTAGCCATATTGATTTGTATGCTGTTGGTGGATTATTGTCGTCTTTTTGGGCTGTGTATGTGATAAAGGGGAGCCATACCGGGGTAAAGGCGTCTTCTTCTGTTTGTCCCCGTGTCAGTTTCAGTTTATTGGTTAATTTTTCTAGTAGGGCTGTTTCCCATACTATTTGGTACCATTGGTCCATGCTTACTCCTGACAGGTCTCTCCAGTGTCTGGTTATGGTGTTTCTGGCTGCTGAAAGTAGGTGGGTTATGAGGTGTAAGTGGGCATTGTGGTGTAAGTGGGCATTGTTGTCTTGGAAGATGTTTAGTAGGGCCAATTCTGGGGTGATGTCTAATACTTGCTTAGTTATTTTACATATTTCTTGCATGGTTGTTTTCCAGAATAGTTGGATTTTGGGGCACTCCCACCACATGTGGAGGTATGTGCCTGTGGAGGTGCACGCTCTCCAGCATTTTGGTGAGGTTCCTGGGCATATCAGCGCTAGTTTTCTTGGTGTTAGGTACCTCCTGTAGGTGAGTTTCAAAGTGATTTCTTTTCTTTTCGTTGATATGGATTTAAAGGTGGGTTTAGACCACATTCTGGTCCATTGAGGGGTTAATCTCATAGCCTATGTCATTCTCCCATTGTTTTTTGATTGTGTCTAGGGGGTTTGTGGGATTTTGGAGTAGTATTTTGTATATTGCGGATACCGTCCCTTTACCGTTTCCCTTTGTTGTTAGGAGGAGGTTTTCGAAGGTTGTCGGGGGCCTAGTTGCTGCTGATTTTACTGTTGGGTTGTTTAAGAGGGCATGTAGTTGGTGTTGTGTTAACCAGGGCATTTGGGTGTCTTCTAGTTTATCTTGTATTTCTTGTGTTGACAAAGGTTTGTTATTTTTATAAAAGTCTATTAGGCGATATAAGCCTTTGGTTCGCCAGGTTTTTATCTGGAGGTTTTGCGCTGCATGGTGGAATAATGGGTGGTACGCCAGGGGGTTTAGTGGGGATGGGGTTGGGGATAGTTTGCCTATTTCTGTTTTCCATGCTTTGAGCATGGTCTGTGTGTACCTATTAAGTGTTGTAGGAATTTTCTTTAGTTTGTTTGGGAGGAGTGGTGCAGGTGTTTTCAATTGTGTCCCTCTCTAGGTGTACCCATTGTTTTGTCTCATCTTCGAGTATATATGGGATTATATGGCGTATTTGGTTGGCAATGTAATATGCTTCTATGTTGGGGATTCCGCATCCTCCTTCTGAGGTGGGGAGGTGCAGGTATTTGGGGCTTATTCTTGGTTTTTTATGTGAGAAGATAAAAGAGTGTACCGTATTTTTCGCTCTATAACACGCACCTGACCATAACACGCACGTAGTTTTTAGAGGAGGAAAACAAGAAAAAAATATTCTAAACGAAACAGTGGATGTATGATTTTTGTGGTTCATGCTGTGGCCACAGACATGTGATCTGACGGTGAGTTTGGGGTAGCCCAATGCAAAAATCCTGAGGATCCATGTGGATCCATGCTTTGTAACCACGTTTTAAGTGGGGAGGGAAGGAAAAGCACTCAAGGGACAAGGAGCACACGTGGGGTGTGTGGAGAAGGATGCTGCTAATAATGCAGGAGAGGAGTTTAAGGGAAGAAGGAACACACCTGGGGGTGTGGAGAAGGATGCTGCTAATAATGCAGGAGAGGCTCCTCTCCTCTCCCGCTTTGCTCCTTTAAAACAAGCAGGCTCTGCTTCTCTCCCTCCTCCCCAGCTTGGCAGCTGCCGAAACACTCACACTCACACTCACACTTAAAGATAATTAAAAGCAATGCGCCAAGACAAACAAAGGAAACCACGATAGTAACCACTCTGAGACAAATCAAGAAAAATTGCGACCAACACTCTCCCTCAACAAGCGCAGTGAGGTCAAAACACACACACACACACAGAGTATCAATCCTAAAGTCGCAGGGGCGCTGGGAGAGCGTAGGGGCGCTGGGAGAGTGAACGGGAAGCAAGAGAAGGAGAACGATCCCTCACAAACAGAGACACACAGAGTATCAATCCTAAAGTCGCAGGGGCGCTGGGAGAGCGCAGGGCGCTGGGAGAGTGAACGGGAAGCAAGAGAAGGAGAACGATCCCTCACAAACAGAGACACACAGAGTATCAATCCTAAAGTCGCAGGGGCGCTGGGAGAGCTCAGGGGCGCTGGGAGAGTGAACGGGAAGCAAGAGAAGGAGAACGATCCCTCACACACAGAGACACACAGAGTATCAATCCTAAAGTCGCAGGGGCGCTGGGAGAGTGCAGGGGCCCTGGAGAGTGAACAGGAAGCAAGAGAAGGAGAACGATCCCCCCCCACAGAGTATCAATCCTAAATTCGCAGGGGCGCTGGCAGAGCACAGGGGCGCTGGGAGAGTGAACGGGAAGCAAGAGAAGGAGAACGACCCCCCCCCCACACACAGAGAGACACACAGAGTATCAATCCTAAAGTCGCTGGGGCGCTGGGAGAGCGCAGGGGCGCTGGGACAGTGAACGGGAAGCAAGAGAAGGAGAACGATCCCCCCCCACACACAGAGTATCAATCCTAAAGTCGCAGGGGCGCTGGGAGAGCACAGGGGCGCTGGGAGAGTGAACGGGAAGCAAGAGAAGGAGAACGATCCCTCACACACAGAGTATCAATCCTAAAGTCGCAGGGGCGCTGGGAGAGTGCAGGGGCGCTGGAGAGTGAACGGGAAGCAAGAGAAGGAGAACGATCCCCCCCCACACACAGAGTATCAATCCTAAAGTCGCAGGGGCGCTTGGAGAGCGCAGGGGTGTTGGGAGAGTGAACGGGAAGCAAGAGAAGAAGAACGATCCCTCACACGCAGACAGACACACAGAGTATCAATCCTAAAGTCGCTGGGACGCTGGAGAGCGCAGGGGTGCTGGGAGAGTGAACGGGAAGCAAGAGAAGGAGAACGATCCCTCTCTCTCTCTCTCACACACACACACACACACAGAGTATCAATCCTAAAGTCGCAGGGGCACTGGGAGAGTGAACGGGAAGCAGCAGGAGGAGAACGATAGCTCAAGCACACACACACACACACAGCCCCTACAGTGGCTAATCCAAAATCGGACAGCAAAAAACTGCAGGCAGGGACAGAGAGCACGGGGTTGTTTTCAAAGCAGTCAACCGGACAGGAACCGCTTACACTCATGTAAGTGGCTCCTCTGCTCTCCCGCTCTGCTTCTCTCCCTCCTCCCCGGCTCCGCTCGCTGACAGGAGCCGCTTACACTCGCTTTGCTGTTTCAAAGCGAGCCACGGACTGCTCACGACTGCAGCAGATTCCCCCGCCATCCGTAGGCATTCGCTCCATAACACGCACAGACATTTCCCCTTACTTTCTAGGAGGAAAAAACTGTGTGTTATGGAGTGAAAATTACGGTAGTTTTCTCTGCCAACTGAGGAGTTGGGTTGAGGGGATCCAGATTGGGAGGGTTTGGAATAGGTAGGTTAGTTTTGGGAGGGTGATCATTTTGATCATGGCTATTTTGTCTGAGAGAGTGAAATTCATGTTATTCCATCTCTTTAGGTCTTTGTTAATTTGTCGCCACAGGGGCTTATAGTTGTGGAGGTACAATTTATTGAGGTTTCTGGTTATTTGTACCCCTAGGTATCTGAACTTGGTGTGGCAAAGTTTTATTTTGGTGACCTTTTTGAGTTCTTTTTGGATGTAAGGAGGGGTGTTGAAGCACATAGCTTCTGACTTTGTAAAATTTACCTGTAGGCCCGACACCTTTGCAAATATGTTGAGTTCTCTGATTAGGGAGGTTGCTGTGCTTATGGGGTCTGGTGTTGTGACCATTAGGTCGTCTGCAAAGAGCCCTAATTTATAGGTTCTGCCTTTTATTTCCACTCCCTTGATATCTGTGGCTGCTCGGATTCGGATTGCTAAGTGTTCCAGAGCCAGGATAAATAAGAAGGGAGACAGTGGGCACCCTTGTTTCGTGCCTCTTTCGATAGCTATAGTATTAGAATCCATATTGTTAGTTCTGCATTTTGCTGAGGCTTGGGAGTATATTTGTTTGAGGATTTGAAGGAAGTTGGGGCCAAATTTCATGTTAGTTAGTACTGCTAATATGTATTTCCACTCTAAGCAATCAAAGGCTTTGAGGATGTCTAGGGACATAATTGTCAATGGGAGTTTAGTTGCCTTGCTGTGTTTGATCAGGTTCAGTAGTTTCCTGATGGGGTCTGTTATATTGCGGCCAGGGACAAAGCCAGTCTGGTCTGGGGCTATTAACTTGTGTAGGAAGATTTTTAGGCGGTTGGCCAAGATTGATGTGAATATCTTGTAGTCTTGGTTTATTAATGAGATTGGGCGGTATGATTCTACTTTGAGGCTGTCTTTTAGTGGTTTTGGGATGGAGACTATTTTGGAGTGGGTCCAGGTTTTGGGGATGGGGCCCCCTTTTATGATGTCGTTGAATAGGCGGGTCATGTAAGGCATCAAGGTTTCTTTGAATTTCGTATAGAATTCTGCTGTGAAGCCGTCTGGGCC